GTATACTATATCCTCTTGTCCAAATTTATTTTTTTCTTATGTAAATATCTGTAACTAAAGATACATTCTGTCCACAGCATAAACAAAGAGCCTTAATATATAAACAGCTTAGACGATGCATAAACCCTAGACCATTTCCAAGTTACATTCTTTGAGGTTAAGCAATGGTGCTTAACAATTTCAAATTTACTATCCTCAGATTTCATAGGTAGATACAGACCAGCTTTAAGACTGTGACTCTCTTATTACGGCCTTTCCCAGTGGGGAGTTGCCTCCACTCTCCAAATATGAAGAGGAAGGCAAAAGGTCGAGAGGAGCGGCAGGGAGGCTGGAGCTCCACAGACCGTATTCCACAGAGAGCGTCTTGCCTGTAGCGCTAACCCAACCAGCGGCAGCCTCTGCTGTATTCTCGGTTACCACTCAATAAGTAGGTTAACGAAGTAAATATGCAACACGTCCTGGACAGAAGTTACCTTCCCAACAAATGAGAGGTTATTTTTTACCCAAGGTTCACTGATAGATTTAAAAGTGAAGCATGAGATTCAGGAAAAATAAGAATGGCTGAGTTTGTTACCTGAATAGCTTAAGCCAAAAATTTACATTATATAAATCATATTTGTATAAAAGAAGCAACATACAGTGATTTCTCCATAATATAAACAGGTAAGCAGTATTTTATCTTGCTTGTTTTAGGTTAGTATGTTATTTTTTTTTAAAGATTTTTATTTATTTATTTTTAGTGAGAAGGGAAGGGAAGGGGAAACAGAGGGAAACATCAATATGTAAGATAAACATTGATGTGTGAGAAAAACATGGACTGGTTGCCTCTCGCATGTCCCCAATGGGGAAGCTGGCCCACACACAACCCAGGCATATGCCCTGACTGGGAATCCAACTGGTCAAACCTTTTGGTTTGCAGTATGACACCCAACCCACTGAGCCACACCAGTTGCAGCTGGTAGTACATTATTTGTAATCTCAAATATTAAAAATCATCAAAGAAAATACTTTCTTCTAATTAGATTAATTTATGAGATCAAACTCCTGAAGTTAAAATACACAGATTGTATCTATAAATAATCAAATCAGTCTTTCATTTCTGTAACAGTAAATGAGCTATAAAACGGACATGAAATTACCTTGCTGGTGTGAAGTTTTATATTTTTTAATTGTATTGATATTATTCAGGATATTAAATTCAAATTAATATTTCCTATTGAATGTTCTATGAGGTCTGTTGAATTCTGATGAAGGATCTAGACTCTGCAATGTGGGGGAAATGAGTAGTCAGGCCACTGATGCTGCTGCTGAGAGCAAGAAGCTGCCCAGCAACCACTGCCCTGGACCAATGGCGTGTCTCCCAGGTGCAGGAACACACCGGCCAGGTGACAGGCATGTTTGTGGAAGGCAGAGCTGCTGCAGAACATGCTCAAGAAGGAAAAGCAAAATTGTTCAAATGAAGCAGACCTCATATATAGTCATAACTTGAACAACATGTGTTTGAACTCTGTGGATCCACTTACATGCAAATTTTTTCAATAAATATATTGGGGGAAAAAAGAATATAGACTCTGGCATTTGCACTGTCGAGTTTGACGTCAGCCATGTCACACCAGCTTCTTGATATTGGGCAAGTTATGTAACTTCTCTCTATTCCTCTGGCTCTGCAAAATGTAAATACCTACTTCATTCAGAATGTAATAGATGAGATAATGCACATAAAGTCACTAACAATGTGGCTAGTACATGATACGTTTGTTCAAAAATCATCAACATTAAAAAAATAGTTTCAAATAATCAGGCATATCTGCTCTTTCCATGGCTGTGTTAGTTCTTGCTAAAATAGGAAAATTGGTAAAAGGAGAAATAGAGCTCTCATATTACAACTGCTAGATATGATTAGCTGTTAATGGAAGGCAGAGACAAATGTATTTAAAAAGTAAATAAATTAATTAAAAAAAAAAAAAAAAAGAAAGAATATATCAATGTCTATTTAAAAATAAACAAGGTTATCTTTGGGGATGCTTTCATATATTAAGTAGGATTTGAGTTAGATTTTGCAGTTTAATCTTGCTTATATTTCTATAGCAAAGTCTACTTCTCTTGTGCTCCAAGTACAGGAAACTGGCACACATACGAGAAAACAGAAGCCTAGGAAATTAGAGTGGTTTTTCCCTAGGTATTGCTGCAGATTTGTACCCACACAGCATAGAATAGTCTACCAATTTTTAATGTAATCCTTATTGTATTTTTTCTGTTATCATTTAGTCCCCTTATCACTACACTGTTGTCTATGCCCCTGAGTCCTTCTCCTTTCTGTTCAGTCCCTCCACCGCTGACCCTCCCCCGCCCCCCACTCTCAGCCTGCTCTCCTTCTACCAATTTCAAGTTCAGCATTCCTGCCAAAACACTGTCCTGAGTATTTTCTCCTCTTCTTGATTGAGAAAAGGCTATTCTGGAGCAGGATGAAAGATGAAAAAGGTTTGAGAAGAAAGAAAAACTTATATAAGTTAAATTAGTAATGATAAATACAGTAAGTATGATAATCATAATAACAATGCCTAATAGAACCAAAATTGCCTATTTTAAAGCAGACTGTTAACATGGATAATATCACTTACTCTTCAAAGCAATTCCCTGACTTACATATTATTATTACTGCATACATTTGCAAGCAAGAAAAATTAAGGTCTGATCATTTAAATAAGGATATATTGCCAGAAAATATCTAATTTTTATTTGAAGTCAACCAATGCCAAGTTCTTCAGTCACTGAGTCTTGAATTTAATTAAATTTCAATAACAAATTTTTATAAACCACTCATCTGTGTAAGCGCTCAGCTAGCTATTGGATACCAAACTAAATAATTATATGAAAAAATTTTTTTCTAGAAAATGTTTTATTCTCTTTTCTTAAAAAAAAAAAACAAAATGATTCTGTGATACTGTAAGAAAGATCTTACAAAGCTCAGAGTCATCCTTACTTCCTGAAGAAATGGTCTGATGCTCCCTTAACACTTTGTGTCTCTCTCCACATAGGCACTGCCATTCTAGGGTAAAACCTGACTGATTTGTCTGACTTCACCACTAGGCTGCAAGCTTTGTAAAGACAGAAACTGGGCTCACATTATTTACCATTAGCATCCTTAGTGTTTAACACATTTTGTGTTTAATATACACAGTATTTATTCATAATAAATTAGAATATATACTTCAAAGTATATATTGATCAACTTCCTGATCCATTTATCAAATGTATCTGGGTCACTGAAGAATTCAGTTCTATTTTTGTTGCAGTTGTTTTATCATAAGGTATGACTTCTGAAGAAAAACACATATAGATAAGGTGATATAAAATCTTGGAAGTTTAAGATGATATAAAATGGAAACACGGCTGTCAAAATGTGAAAAGAGAAGGAAAAAAAGAGAAAAAGATGTCAGAAAAACAAAGAGATGGAAAGGGAAAACTTGGGGGCATTCACTCTGTCGCAGTTTATAGAACATATTATTTGAATCTGAAATGTCCCGGGTCCTTGATTCCTCCTCTTGAAATTTCTGAGCCATTGCAGGAAAGAGCTGAAAGGGAGCTTCTATCTTTAAGGTATGCTGTGAAACTTTAACATTAGTGTCAGAATAGAAAATTCATTGAATTAATAAGGGAAGAGTTTAGGATTAGCGAGGAGGAAGAAACAAAGAGCAGAAGTTTAAGTTGCTTTAGTAGGTTGGATTTGTGAAAAGAGAAGAGGAACTGGGGTCTTAAAAGAAGGAAGAGAAGATGAATTTGGAGTCTGGGAAATGAAAGAGAAACTTCAAAACTGATGACAATGTAGATTTTGGAGTATGTCAAAGTGCGAAAAAGGTCGCAGTTTAGCGTTAATGAAGGCTGGATGAAAATCACAAAAGAGATGTCTAGGATCCAGCAGAGTGGAGAGGAGACTGAACTTACTTGGTCTAAAATGCTTCACTATTTAAGGAGCTAATTGAGCTAAACCTATACTGCATTTACAATTTGTTTTATAATGGTTATTTAAATATAAATACTTTAAACATGCATTATGCATAACATATATTCATAACATATATTAATTATATATTCAAGTATATACACATATTTAAAGATAGAAAAAGGTGTACAAAAACAGATTTTATATTTTTTCTGGTTTCAGGTGTGAACCTTATTATCAAGTTCTCTTATACATTTCATTTTCACTTTTCCTTGTGCATTTAACCCATAAAGGCTTACGCTTACTTAATTCTAAATTATGCCTAAATTTCAGAATGTAAGTAAAACTGTTAAGATCATTGGAGGCCATGGCAGCCCTAGGGACATATTGAAGCAAAATCTTATATCTTTATTTCACATTCTAAAATTCAAGTGAACATGTGACTTGCCATGACATATTACTAATATAAATTTCTATGGTATATTAAATAGGATCATTTTTTGATGGAACAAGGCCATAGTTATTATTTTTCTAATGAGTGTCTCCATCTCTTTCCCAGACAGAGAGTGGCCCAGGCTGGCCAGCGCTGGCTCTACAGTGGAGTCTCACTGATGACCTTGCCCTTCGGTTATTCCTGAGAAAGTTCACAGGGGAAATGTAAAACCAAACGTGAAAAAATCATCTAAACAGATTGTAATCAAAAAGGTGCTAGGCAGAAAAAGTACAGATACAAAGCAAGTAGAGAGCAGATTGGTTAAGAAGGAGTACAATTTCTCATTAGAGAGTGTTACAGGTGCTGAGACTAAGCTACCTGACATGTTTTGCTCTTATTTGATTGTTGTCTGTTTTGCTATGCTATTGATTTATCCATATGATTAACATGAACAGGGAAAATTCAGTTTAAGATTGTTTTCTGTTTTTATATAGTAGAATTTTAGGATATTGGATTTGAAGTGTACTACCAAAACTAAAAAAAACAGCAAACAAAAAACTGGATTATCTATCCTGTGCCAGTGAATTGACGTGACTTCTAAACCCCAAACCATTTTGTTCATACATGGAACCCACAGGACAAAATCCCCCACAGGGAAACCACACTACATTGACAGGTTTTATCCTGCTTGGCTTTTCTGATGTTCCTGACCTCCAAGGATTTCTTTTTGGCATATTTTTGATAATCTATGTGATTATTCTGATGGGAAATAGCCTCATTATTATAATAATCAAGGTTGATCCTTCCCTACGGAACCCCATGTATTTTTTCCTTGGGAACTTTTCTTCCTTGGAAATATGTTACGTGTCAGTCATTGTCCCCAGAATGTTAACTGATCTTTGTACACAAAATAGAAATATTTCTTTGCTCGCCTGTGCTACTCAAATGTATTTCTTTCTGGTCTTGGGAGCCACTGAGTGCTTTATTCTGACTGTAATGGCTTATGACAGGTATGTTGCCATTTGCAACCCATTACTCTACCCTCTCATCATGAACAACAGGATGTGCATGCAGTTGGCAGCTGGCTGTTGGATGACTGGGATTCCAGCCTACATACCGTTCACCTACCAGATTTTCTCTCTACCCTTCTGTGGATCTCACCAGCTGAATCACTTCTTCTGTGACGTACCTCCAGTACTTCAGCTTGCCTGTGGGGACACTTTGATGATAGAGATATTGATTTATGTGGTTGCTGTCCTAGTTGTCACTATTCCTTTTATGTTGATTCTTGGATCTTATGTGAAAATAATCTCCACCATCTTGAAGCTGCCATCAGTAACAGGGCGAGCCAAGGTGATCTCCACCTGCTCTTCCCATCTCATGGTGGTGGCTTTGTTCTTTGGATCAGGCATCATTTCATATTTGAGACCAAAGTCCAGTCATTCAACAGGGATGGACAAATGTATTTCTCTCTTTTATACCATCGTGACACCAATGTTTAACCCCATGATATACTGTCTGAGAAACAAAGATGTTATAGTGGCATTGAGAAAATTCTTGTCAAAGTGGATTGTTCTATGACTTGACAGCATAACTTCCTAAAATTTGTTGCTTATTTGTCATAGTCTTCAGTCATTCATTTTTATTCTTCTCCAATATTATTAAAAATCTTAATTATTCTGGGTGAGTTATATCATATTGTATCTCACATGAAATAAACTCTGCTGTTAGTTTTAAATAGGGAATTAATTCCAACCTCAATCCAAGGTATTAAAATATGGATGGACCTGGAGAGTATTATGCTAAGTGAAATAAGCCAGCCAAAGAAAGACAAATACCATATGATCTCACCTATGAGTGGAACCTAATCAACAAAGCAAACAAACAAGCAAAATAGAACCAGACATTGAAACAAACTGATAGTAAATAGAGGGCAGCGGGGAGGGGGATAGTAGGAGAAAGAAGAGAAAGTGTGGTCAAGAAATATGTATAAAGGACCCATGGACAAAGCCAAAGGATAGTAGGATTGAGGGTGGTAGATGGGGTGGGTGAATGGGGGGGGAAAGAGTGGCAGGAAAATGGAGGCAAATGTACTCGAATAACAATAAAAATAAAATAACATATGTGAAATAATACATTGGTGTCATTAAAAGTTGCCATTGCTGGTTTTTAAGATTCTATAATATTACCTACATTTTCTTTTGCACAAGATGATTCATTTTTGTATTTCCAGATCCCAACATATTATCTTAAAAATAACAGGTATCTAATTAACTTTGCTCAATTGAAAGAATGACTAATAGCAAAGGTGTAACCATTGATGTTTTATTTGTTCGTGATTAATAACTATTATAATCAGGCAAGCTCAGGAGAAGCAAAGAAGGATTGGAATCCAACAACAGTAAGTTGATGCATTAAAAAAATTTGACATTCTACCTGTTTTTAATGGGGATTCATCAGCTAATTCCCCAAAAATAAATTTACATATGAAAAGAGTGGGCACATGTAATTCCAGAATTCAATTTTTGTCTGGAATACTAATTAATTGCCATTACTTTATTATATTAATGACAAGACGACTGTAATTTTGTTATATAGGTTGTAAGTGCATAGAAAAAAGAATACAAGTTGTGGAGGGAAGAAAAATAAAGGTATTTGAGTAACTGAAACAAAGATTTTGATATAAAAATATATAAAAGGTATGAGGTATGTGAAAATCACTTTTCTATCTTCTAGCTCTCTTTCCTTTCTTCTTTTGTTAAAGGAACTTTATAAGGCCCAATGATAAAGAAATAACTGTGTAAGGAGATAAGGCATGTTTGAATGCTAAAGCAGTAAAATTAGATAACACACATATCAGTCATCTCTGGACTCCCTACCTCTCTTTTGCTCTACATGATCCTGCATTCTGTAAAACTCCTGGTACCAACCTTTTCAAGCTTAGCTGGGCCTCACCAGGTTTTCCATGATGTTTCCTTCAAAATACAGAAACTTTCACTCACCTCCACCTTCTCCATCTCTCCTTATCACATCCACCATCAAAACTTGTTAGAAGGCAATGAGAAAGTGCATATAACTCAATTTCTGTACAATTCCTTCCTGACATTAAAACCTCAACTTAGAGAGAAAATATGAAAGAAAAATAACTTTAAGAAACAATTATCAAGGTATTAATAGTACACAATTATAAGAAACTATATTTTATCCTTTCATCTCTATAAAAGAGACTATCAAACATCATAAGTAAATAGATCTTAGAGATGTTCTTAAATACTGTGTGAAAGAGCCATCAAAAATAATAGGGGATTACTTTTTAATATTTTTAGCTATGATCTCTTCAATAAGATCAGACTACTATGTATGAAATACTAAAGCTCAAAGATTTCTGAAGCAGCAAAAGACAGGGTTATATTGGTGTACACCATGCATTCTAAGTCACATGTTCAGTCAACATATGAACATCAAAATTCTATTTCCTTTTAAAATGTACAACCTTAAGATTTTCTATCAGACATTATATATTGGAAATCCAGTTGGAGGAAGATGAAAGAAATAAGAATAGTCATTAAAGAAGGGCCATGAAACTGGTGACACGGTTATCTGGCCCAGGGGATTGTCCCTGTCATGTCACTGCAATGGAGAAAGATGGACTTGTGAGAGTCAGCTTGACTTCTCGGATAAGAAGCGCAGGTATGGCACAGGTAGGTCCCATATGAAGATGAAAGCTTGATCTGAAAATCACTACATAGTTTTTGAAGACATAAAATGTTAACTTATGGGCAGTTTTACCTTTGTTGACTCCAAAAACAATGGTAAGAAACAGTAATAATTTGCCATATTGGAACTGGGGAAACTTTTTAAAATTTTCTCTGCAGAATATGTCGAGGCAGGTCAGGAAGTTGTGTTTACTTACTGTTAGAATACCTGAAGACAACAGGGAGACAGGTTTCTAAAGTACATAAAGTGATATGAAATTAACTTTGTTTAGTTTGAAAATGTATAAGCTAAAATCTGTAACCATTATAAAGTCAATAGATAAAGTAAAATAGAACTTAAAAAACCTAAATAATCTAAAAGTATAGGAAAGAGGAAATAGAGAATCAACGAACAGAGGAAACAAACCAATAAACAAAGTTGGTTTTTAAAAAAAAAGGATGAAGCTGATTCGAAACACATCCAAGTCCATTGAATGTTAATTAACTAAATCATATAATTAAAAAATAAAAAAGTTTAAAAAACCAGGCTCAAATATGTGCTATCTACATGAAACACACTTTAAAGCTAGAATATATAAATTAAAAATAAATGAAGAGGAAAACTTTACTATGCAAACAGTAAGCATAGGAACACTTAAATAGCTATTGTATCACAGAGATAAACAGATATGTTATATTTACATGAAAAGGTTAATTTATTAGGAAGACCTAAATATCATAAATTTGTATGTCTAAAACCAGAATCTCAAAATACAGGGACTAAGCCTAAAAATAATCAGTCAACAATTCTACAATCATAGCAGTAAATCTTCACATTTATATTTCATTTACCTGTGGAAAACTAAAAAATCTGTAATGGAATAAGCAATCTGAACAATGTTACACACAAATGCATAACATGCACACTTTCAAGAGCAATTGATGGGTTTACCACGATAATCCATATGCTGATTTACAGAGCAGTGTTTGTAAGTTTTAAAGGTTTGAAATATTTTCTTTGAATACAATAGAATTAATGAGGAAATGATGAAAAGAAGATTTTTTTAAACCTCAAATATTTTTAAACTAACACATATATTTCTAAGCAAATAAGAAACTCCAAATTAAGCAAGGGAAAATAAATTAAAATTGCAAAGAAAAAGAAAATGGTTGTTTCGGTAGAGTTATGACTGTTTACCTAGAATATCTTAAGGTATCTACAAAACAACTACTGAAATAATTACATGATTTGAGCAAGGATATGCTGTTAAATGTTAACACCATTTCAACTGTTTATATATTACCAGCAATCAGCTGGAATGTGAAACTATGAAAATCAATTCAATATACTTATTAACTAAAAATATGGAATATTAGGAAAAATGTTTGGGTTAATATGATTGTTCTGTCTCTTGACTGTAACAATGGTTTCACACATGTATATATATGAGGTTTATCAGGAAAAAGTCCAGCTATTGTTAATATAACAAGAACAGTTTGTGCGACATGGGTGTAACCTGGCAACCAAGGAGAATGGACTGTAATGCACAAGCGTGAACAACGACGACTTCACTGTACTAGTCCACGGGAGCAGCAGATGCCTTTGAGTGAGCATGCGTACTGTATGGCTGTTGCATTCAAAATGAGCGAGTAGAACAACAAATCTGCATCAAATTCTTCATTAAGCTTGGACATTTCTCTGTGAAAACTATTTGATGACTCAAAAGGCTGCAGCTATGAACAATTGGTGATTGGCAGCTTCATCACAAGAACACACCCGCTCATGCATCACATGTAGTGCACAATTTTTTGGCAAAACATCAAATCACCCAGGTAATTCAGCCCCACTACAGCCCAGATTTGGCTCCCTGTGACTCTGCCGTGAATTGGATGGACATTCAATTTGCTCCAGCTTGTAAATTATTGTCAAACTTATTTGACACAAATCATGAATGCAGTTCTCATTTATAAATAAAAATGAAAGAAGCCTGACACTAAAACAGTCATAATAAAGGGTACCAAAACTAAAAATACCTTTGAAAAGGAAGAGACTTCATACAATTGATGAGGTTCAGGAAAATAAGACAGGGCAGCTGATGGTGACTGGGAGAACTGTGTGAGGTCCCAAGGTGCCTACTTTGAAGGGGACTAAAGTATCATTGTCCTATGTTCAATATTTCTTGTTTCTTGCATCTTCTTTAGTAAATGTCTCTATTTTTCATATTACATGGCTGGATACATTCTGGAAAGACCTAATATATGTCAAATTGCATATTATTTTAAATCTCACTGGGTGTATTTTAAAGATGTTACTTTCTGTAAATTATGCCTCAATAATGTTGCTAATTTAGAATGGAAATAATGATGACATTTTATTAGACCCAAATATATCTAAAAATCTACTAAAACGCATAGATATATACTACATGTAACGATTCTGTTATATAAGGTCATGTTAAAACTGAAATCTAAAGGCATATATGTTACAACATACTATAACACATTGTTAGTGACAAAAAGAAGGGACTATGGCAGAGTCTGGTTTGATGATCTCCAAATATATTTCTGTTTCTTTAACCTACTGTGAACGCTATTCCCTAACACTCTCACATCTATGTTAGATCATGAACTTAGTTCCTACAATACCATATGGGTAAACGTGACATGTTGAAGCTCTTAAGAGTAGATTTGTTTCCTTATTTTCCATCTGTCTTTCATTTTCAGCTCTCTGAATGCTAAGAATCTAATATGGAACTGCAAAGATGAATGAACTAAAGAGTGGGATTCTTATACGAAAGAAACCAGTTTCTTAATCACTAGCCACAGAGTTGTACTGTAAGATGTCTTTATTTGGTTAAGCCACTTATATAGCTGAGGAACTGCTTG